TTTTCAAGAAACCATTGTACTAAATTTGATGTCTGTCAAGCAATGGGTCCTCAAGATTTTGAATGATTAAAATCTACATACTGGTATATCGAGAATTATAACCCTTGACCTTTGACCTTGAAAACTCCAAATTAAAAGGCGCCATCTACTTATTAGTAGGTATCAGTGTACTATGTTTATTATCTATCAAGCAAATGTTTTTTTTAAGATAAGAGAGAACATACTTGGTCTACTGATTGATAAACAGGTACTAAGCAGTATGTGAATATCACCCTGCTCAAAGAAAATGTATAATAATACAATTCTGGAACCCCCCCCCCCAATTAACCCCATTTAACCCCCTAAGAAATCATTATTGATTGAAAACAAAAATGTACAATATACTGGTATTTTTCAACAGCAAAATTTAAATTTTTGAAAATATTTAAATCAGCAAAATAACTCCTTGCTGAAGTTCAGGGATGAGAAAATTTGAAAATTCACAAAAAATGTCCAACTTTAAGTAAAAAGTACAGCAAAATATTTGAGAGTCCAAAGACAGATTTTTATATAATGTATATAATATCAATATAAAATCCTATAAAATTCCTGTTTTCACCCTGCGTAAGGACCAAGAATTCTATTTTTAGTAACAGTGTCGATTTAACCCCTTAAGTGAGACCACACTGAAAAAAATTTTGTGGCAAAATATTTCATATTATAGTAGAAATTTACACACAAAACATGAAGTTGATAAGAGAACCTTGCTCCCATAACCTTTTGCATGGTTTTCTCGTAGACATGCTCTTAAAACAAAATTTAACTAAAGGTACTGTGAGCAATGAGCTCACTAAATGATACCCCCTGCCTCCCATATGGTTATAACTGATGACAAAGTCCATGTATTACTGTGGCCGGGAAACCCAAAATATGTGTTGGATAAAAAAGTGAAATAGGAGGTGCACAGTGGCAATATGTCATAAAGATTCTGTGAAAGGTTCATTAAATTTCACTCATTGCAGTGGTATAAGAGGAGTTGCGGATAATAAGAGATGGGTACTCTAAAGTGTAACAGACAGACGTACAGACAGATTGACGTACAGCTAGACGGACATACCAATTACAGTATACCCTCCCACTTTTCAATCGGAGGGTATAATAAAACTATATACATGTAGATTTTTCACCTCTGATTTATAATGATATTTGTTTTATACACACTGACCATGTTTTATAATATTCTTTAAACAAATTATTTGATACTCAGCAAATATTCACTACTGGTAAGATGACCACACGCATGAACATGTCTGTGTATGAATGAAATGAATTTTCCTTTTGATCATGTTCCTATGAAAATAATTATTTTCATAATTTTTTCATCAAAGGATTTACCTTGTGAGATGAATAAAGAAAAAGTAAGACCATTAAACCAAAGCAGGAACAAATAGGCCATGACTGAAGTTCAAGTGCATTCTGCAAGAAAGTGGACAGCCTAGATTCTGTTCTTTTCAAGGTAACCATTCTTAAAATATATGAAAGTAAATTAAAGACGGATGATACAAACAAAAAATGGGTGCCTGAATTGGTATATATTTTTTGACATAATTTAATTGCAAATGATGCTATTGATAAATTTCTAGAATATAAAGAAATTGTAAACCTTCTGTGATGTTCAAAAGTGTGCCCTCCTGAAACTATCCTTATTAATTTATACAAATATTTTTCACTTCAAATTCCATTTTTATGCAAATTTGAATTAAAAACAAAAATGTACTCGGAGAAAGTTATTAATTTTACTGATTTAAACATGAACCCAGTTGTTATTTTCAAATTCTTTGACAAAAGTTTGTTTGCATCATCTGTCCTTAAATTGTTAAAAAAATACTTCAGTTTATCCTAAATTTAAATTACTTTTTTTAAACAAAATTTAATACTTGTACAGTAACAGAACAATTCTTATGCTAGAATAAAGAAAACAACTTTCTAAAGGATTACATACATATTTAATTAGCTTGAAATCGGTGTATATTGGAAACTGCAGGAATTTTTTACCATTGCAGGTTGAGAAGGGATACCATATTTTAGGTTTAAACCAGGCAAGTGAAAGCTGAATTCCAACCCACTTCAACATACTTGTACCCACTGTCTTCAAGATATCAGTGTTTGAGATATAAAAGTTCAAATATAATAGGAACATGTTTATCATATTATGTGATGGCATCCTCAAATCTTATGCCATATAACAATATGTTTTAGAACTTATCAAGCTTTATCCTGTTCCTTGCCAAAAAACTTAACTTAGCATAATTCTCATTAACTAATTATCAGTGTTACTTGCGTATGTCAGTGTAGGTCATTACTGGTACATGCCTGACCAACAAAAACTCTAAAGTGGAAAAATCAGAGACAAGATTTTCAGAGCAGCAGAAACAGTAAAATTTGTCAGGTAAATCTAATGATATGTAGTTGAGAATACATGTACTCTAACAACTTGTATTTATTCCCATTCTTCGATTATTAACATCGCCAAAGTCACAATTAATCAGTCTATGATTCTATTTAATCAACCCATTTACAACTATTGTTCAATGAATAATCCGTTCTCTGTACATGCATGCTGCACGCATAAAATCCTCGTGCATCACCTGACAATCAAAATGGCATCACGCTAGGTGACCCTGAAAGTCTGTTTACGCAAGAAGAATTTCTCCTGTGATTTGAAACATTCATATGGTCAGTTCATAATTCACACCTGTTTAAAAAATATTGGGTCACAGCCGGAGGGGCGAGGAAGGGGGGGGGGGGTGCGTGTGTTTAACACACCTTTCAAATTATTTAGTTCTGACCACATCAAGTGTATTTAATCACTCAACTGACATCCAGCAAACTCATCTTCCAGGTTTCACCACAACACTGATTATAAATTTTCTTCCTAAATTATCCTTTTTCAGACAAAAAGCTTGTATTACTAAATTATAATTTTCTTCTTTTTTTTTTTTTTTTTAACAAAAGCACAATTTAAAGTCACATTAAGTTGCATAAGTATCGCCTTCTAGAGGGGGTGGGGGGGGGGGGGTAACAAACGTAACTCGTATGACTTGAAAGAGGATTGATTTTTAATTTCATTTTATTTAGTAAATTATCTTTTTTCAGACACTAATAAGGATGTTTCCTGTAGGTTATGATTTTTTTTATTTACAACAACGTACGATTTAGCAGACTTCTAAAGAACTTTCGACCAGCTAATTCGTATTGCTTTCGAGAAGGAGATCGGAGTACGGTGTAACAAACCTTATAATATCTTTATTTTTTCGCAAACTGTTTTTTTTTTCATTTTTCATGAGATGTATTTCAGAATGAAGTAATATTTATACTGCAGTTTGCACATTTTATTTGCAAGAAATTCGGCTGGCGATTTTTGTATGCAGAGTGAAAGTTGATCACAGTTTTATTAGTAAGATTATAATCTCTGTCAGTTCAGTAGAAATCTTCACGTTTACCGCATGTAATATTTTAATCCATACTGTAAACCAACTTTTATTCGCGTGCGAGAAATTTTCGCGAAGTTCGCGAGAGCCTCGTCATCGCGAATATTTCTCGTCGCGAACCAGTCCTTAAAGTGTATTTGTCTATTGACTGCAGATCCAAAAAGGCTTGATCGCGAAAATTAATCGTCGCGAACTAGTTTATCCCTAGTCGATCGCGAAATAAAATCGTCGCGAATAAAAGTTGGTTTACAGTATTTTACATGATTACAGATTTTCAGCGTAAGTATAACTGCACCAATGATTCGCCTATAGTAAAAATCTTAACAGAATTAATGTGAGAGTCTAACACGGTTCTTTTTTAAACTTTACTCTAGACAGTTAATATATATGTTTTATAATTCTTACAAAATAATTCATTTGTAATATCACGCATCTGATATGTATTACATATGATTGCATACTTACGACAAAAACGATCTTGTATCCGATAAGATTTAATAATTTAAATAAGGAAAATTAAAATCAAAAGTAGAGACAACCAGGGAATAAATTCATGAAAGCGTGTTCTTTCTTAGTGGTATTATAGTCTATTGAACCTATTTTTATGTCAAATATAATTATAGGATTATGAAACATGAATGTACATGTACACATTAAAAGACGGGTTTTTCCCCGGGCATGAGCACGATTATATTGAATTTTGGGGCATCTTATAATATTAGTTTAAATATCTGTATAGTTAAATTACGAATATTTAAATAAACTAATATTTCACAAGGAAATTGATTTAATTTGCTAATATCAAGAAAATGAAAGACTTCAAAGACGCCGACATCGTTCGAGGTCCACTGTGCCCAGTACGTGTTTTGCGGAAAAAACTCCTGGCCTGTACTGTACGATTGACCACAAACACAACCAGTTGATCTAATTTATAGCAAATAAGAAATCGTCTTACGCTCTGTCTAGTAGTTTTAAAGTTGTAGTATGCTTCGAGTAGTTTCCTTATTTTTACAGTTGAAGGCCAAGACGCATGATACTTGATAATGGTGTTCCGAACTGGCAGACACAACCACCGTCCTCCTTTCACAGGCGCCGTAGCGAGAAATAAACCAAAATCACTTATTTGGTCATTACGCTATTCAAAAATCATTGGGGGCGTGGTTTGCATAATTAACCAAAGAACGGTACGGTTCGTTTCTTGCACGGAACGGTACGCTTTGTGGACGGTACGGTACGCTTTGAGAACGGAACGGTACGCTTTGTGCACGGTACGGTACGCTTTCTGCACGGAACGGTTCGCTTTCTGCACGGAACGGTTCGCTTTGTGCACGGAACGATGCGCTTTGTTCACGATACGGTACGCTTTCTGCACGGAACGGTCCGGTTCGTTTCTGAGGTGTAGTAGCACGGTTTAGGGTCTGTAGAATCTCATTTTTCTCGCTACAAATTAAATTAATTGGACGCCCGTGTTACACTAGTTCTCAGTGAAGAATGAAAAAGAACATAAATGTCAAGGTGATACAGTTTTATTTAGTCTGAATCCGAACTTGATGACTCGCTGTGGAAACCCTCATACTCATCATCTGGGAATGCTTTTCTGATTTTAATCACAACACAAGCAGGTAACACCACTCGATTCTTTTTCCCTAATGGCTGTTCCCTCCTCACAAAAAAAAATAAATTGCCTATATGCCATGAGCCTTGATTGCCTACAATTAAAAAGAAAAATCAGTAACTGTTGACTGGATATTGATCCATGCATTAACTTTTATGCAATTTAATTTTAGATGATAAAACTGATATTTAATTGTTTAGTAATTAATGTATATTCTCAGATATGTGATACTTATTTTTAAATTTCTTATTGTATTTTACTGAATTTTTTACTAAAGAGAAATAAATATTTCTTTTTAAAATGACTTCCATAATTTATTTACAACTACTCACCTGTTTGTCAGAACTTAGGGAGCCTGTCCACTTTTCCTTTTATATCGTAAAAATGCAACATATGCTGTTTCAAGAACTACTCTATTTAGACACACCATGTCAAAGTCACTATGCTGTGAAATACATGGACATAGCGATGAAATTTAATTTTCAGCATAATGCTCAAATTCCTTACAGCATACACATTCTCTTTGACTTGGAAGAATGTCACAGTGTCCACACGTGCACCAATTGGTATTATCACCTCTTTCATTTATTTCATTTATTCCCAAATCATCTGAGCTTTCAACTGAAACTGCCAATAATTCCTCTTCATTAAACTCTGGCTCATATTGATAACCTTTGCATTCAGACATGACCTGTTTTCTGTCAATTTGAGCTTCAGAGGCGGAATTGCCTGTCGTACGTCATAAACAGATAGAATTGTGGGAGATATAGTAAATGTAATGTTTAGGAATTTACTAGATTTGTATCACAATCTGTTTATAATTGATTTGACGCGTAAGCAAAGTTAGCTCTCTGACTCTCACAGAGTTCAGTAACCTACTGACATTATTCTGAAATTGAGTCACCTACATTTCCTGTTTCCCAGGCTCCAAAGACTATAAAATATAAAACGATTTTGGTACAAAGACACTTACTTGCTAACTGATATCCAATGTAGTCAGGCTGTATATATATTTGTGCTTATTAGATAAACTATATAAAATATATACCGGTGTTGTTTCTGATATATTACAATGGCGACGAGGATGTACAAAACATGTTAACTCTGTGATTTAATTCGTTGGAGAAGTTAAATCTGAGATTCAATTAAAATTGAAGATATGGCAGCGAAAATCGATTTACCTTGTGTACCTCAGTTCGTGATAGTAGGAGAACTAACAAATGTAGCCCAAAGATGGGAAGATTGGATGAAGAGATTCAAATATTATATGGAAGCATCCGGAGTTACTACTCAGAAACAAAAACGTGCGCTTCTCCTACATTTAGCAGGACCTGAAGTTCAGGACATATATGATACTATTGAACATACAGGTGAGAACTTCGATGATATAGCTAATGATTTAAATACCTACTTTGCACCCAGAAAAACGTTGCTTTCGAAAGACATATGTTTCGTCAGGCATCACAGAATGAAAATGAAACAGTTACAAATTTTGTGACACGATTGCAAAAACTGGCAATATCTTGTGACTTTGGAGTGGCAAAAGATGACAATATCCGTGATCAGGTTATCGATAAATGCAAATCAACAGCACTAAGAAGAAGATTTCTGCGAGAAAAAAGAACTCAACTTAATGAAAGTACTTGAAATATCAAGGGCCGTAGAAATGTCAGATTGTCAAGCACAGAAAATTGAAGAAAATCCAGCTATTCCACAGGAGGTCAACAAAATTAACCAACAGATGAAATCGAAAAAGTTTCCAAATTTCGAAAAACCAAAACCAAGTCGTGCATGGGAATGGAATGACAGAGGTCATGGAAAACAACTGTATGGATACAAAGGACCCGGAGGGCAACACCAATTCCCTAGAAACAACCAACGATGTTACAGATGCGGAAATCAAGGTCATTTTGGTCGTGACTGCAGAATAACACGAGGAAAAAAGTGCAATAAATGTGGAAATGAAGGTCATTTTGCAAAAGTGTGCAACACCAAGCGCCTTAATTGCGTTGTCGAAAATACTACCCCTGAATTCGCCTTCAGTGTATCTAAAAATAAAACACCTACAATCAAAGTTAAAATCAACAACAAAGATGTAAGTGTTATCATTGATACTGGAGCTAGTGTCAACATTCTGGACGGAGTAACATTTCGAACCTTGTTCCCGGACAATAAAGCTTTGAAACACCCAACATCAGAAATTTTTGCATACGGATCACCAAAACCACTGAAACAACTTGGTATCATTATGGCAGAGTTGAAACATAACGGCGAATCTATTCGAACAACTTTCCATGTCATTCCCGGAAAATATGGAAACTTGATCAGCAAAACAACAGCTGAGCAATTCAAGCTGATTAAACTGGAGCAGCATTTCATCCAAGAGATAACAAAAGAAGCTTCCACAATAGTTCAGGAATACAGCGACCTTTTCGTTGGACTTGGTAAACTTAAGAAATTTCAACTCAAGTTACATGTAGACAACGCAGTACGACCAGTGGCTCAACCCATACGCCGTCTGCCATATCACATGCGTGAAGCTGTTGGAAACAAAATTGATGAATTGGAAAATTTATATGTAATTGAAAAAGTTGAGGGACCGACACCATGGGTTTCACCTCTTGTTTGCATACCAAAACCGAAGCAAAACGACGTGCGAATCTGTGTGGATACAAGCAAATAATGGATAATGCGGGAACGATTTCCTATTCCGAATAGAAGAAACACTACAAGAAATGAATGGAGCAACATGTTTCTCTAAACTTGATCTTAAATTAGGATTTCATCAAATTGAATTAGAGCCAGATTCAAGAAACATAACAACTTTTGTCTGCCACAAAGGTTTGTACAGATACAAGCGGCTCATGTTTTTAATTTCGTGTGCACCGGAAATTTACCAACGAATTATACAACAAGTATTACAAGGGATCACGGGCTGTAAGAATATATCAGACGATATAATTGTCTTCGGCAAAACGAAAGAAGATCATGACAAAGCGCTTCGGGAAGTTTTCAATAAACTTCGAGAGAGTAATTTGACCCTGAACAAAGAGAAATGCGAATTTTACAAGACAGAGCTAAAATATATGGGACACATATTGTCCAAAGAAGGAATTAAAGTCGACCAAGAGAAAGTCAAAGCGGTTCAGGAAGCAAAACAGCCCAGTAATGTACAAGAAGTCCGCAAGAAGTCCGCAGTTTCCTTGGACTTGTCAATTACTGTGCAAGATTCATTCCGAATTTAGCAACAATAGCTGAGCCAATCCGTAAGCTGACACGCAAGTCAACAAAATGGGAGTGGGGAAACACTGAAACAAAAGCTTTCGTCCAACTAAAAGAGTTATTAACATCATCAGAAGTTATGGCGTACTACAAACTAAGTGCAGAAACAAGACTAATTGTAGATGGAAGTCCTTATGGGCTCGGAGCAATATTAGAACAGAAACAAGAAGACGGAGAATTTTGTCCAATGGCTTACGCAAGTCGTACCCTCACTGACACGGAGCGACGGTACTCGCAAACCGAACGAGAATCACTGTCAATTGTATGGGCATGCCAACGATTTCAAACGTATTTGTATGGAGTAGATTTTACCATCTTCACAGATCACAAACCCCTTACCTACATATTTACACCAAAACACAAACCACCTGCTAGAATAGAACGATGGATCATGAAACTACAACCATTTAAATTTACTGTGATCTATACTCCCGGAAGCCAAAACGCAGCTGATGTACTTTCACGCCAGGAAAATGCAAACAATAATACTCCGAATCAAGAACAAACAAGCGCAGAAGACTATGTCAATTTTGTAATCGAACACGCAGTACCAAAAGCAATGACCATAGAGGAAACTGAGCGCGAATCCGAAAATGACCCTACGCTGCAACAAGTACGGGAAAACATCACTTCAGGAACTTGGACCAAATCGGACAAAAATTTACCTTTTTACCATATCCGATCAGAGTTAGCAGTTCGAGGACCGATTGTACTAAAACAGGCTCGAATGATCATCCCACAATCCCTGCGGAAGAGAACACTAGAAATCGCACATGAGTCACATCAAGGAGTCGTTAAAACAAAGGCACTTTTACGAGAAAAAGTGTGGTGGCCAAAAATGGACGAAGATTTTGAAACCGCTGTATTGTCATGTCATGCATGTCAAATGGTATGTAAATCAAATCAAAGAGCACCCGTTACGATGACAGACCTACCCACAGGACCTTGGAAAAATTAGGAATGGATTTATGCGGACCATTCCCAACCGGAGAACAAGTATTAGTAATAGTTGATTACTATACCAGATATCCAGAAATCGAAATCATGAAGTCTGTAACTTCAGAAGCTATTATTAGACGACTAGTGAGAATTTTTGCAACCTATGGACTACCAGAAGAAATAGTCACAGACAACGGCAGACAATTCATATCGGATGAATTTGAAAATTTCTTAGCGCGGAACGGAATTAAACATCACAGAACTTTACCGTACTGGCCTCAAGCTAATGGAGAGGTTGAAAGGTTTAATGCAACACTAAAGAAATCTGCACAAATCGCAAAAGTAGAGCGCAAAGATTGGAGATTTGAAATATATAAATTTCTCCTAAATTACCGGAATACACCGCACAGCACAACGAGAGAATCACCTGCAAAATTAATGTTCGGCAGAGAATTGAGAACAAGAATTCCACAATTGCCACATAATCAAAGGAACAGAATTCTTAACCGTCGGGACAGAAGAAATAAAATTATCTGTCAAATTGCTTGCGGGGGAGAGAGTGCTGATAAGGAACAATATGCTAAAATCCAAGTTAGACACAAAATGGAATGGACCGTTCACAGTTATATCCCACGAGGGCAATGCTGTGAAGATTGACATTAATGGTAGAGCTACTTATCGAAACATCAACCACGTGCGACCCTTTAACGGCACGCGACAATGACAGTTTTATTAAACAAACATTTGTTGCTGAAGCGAAGGCACTTGACTCTTGAGGAAATGTTTAACCTCATTTTAAAATTTTTTGTATGTCCATCTGTTAAGTATAAATTCAAAGAGGGGAGGATTGTAATGTTTAGGAATTTACTAGATTTGTATCACAATCTGTTTATAATTGATTTGACGCGTAAGCAAAGTTAGCTCTCTGACTCTCACAAAGTTCAGTAACCTACTGACATTATTCTGAAATTGAGTCACCTACATTTCCTGTTTCCCAGGCTCCAAAGACTATAAAATATAAAACGATTTTGGTACAAAGACACTTACTTGCTAACTGATATCCAATGTAGTCAGGCTGTATATATATTTGTGCTTATTAGATAAACTATATAAAATATATACCGGTGTTGTTTCTGATATATTACAGTAAAGAACGGTAACTTTATCTTTCAAAATGGCGGCCCCCAGTAGCTTTTATTTATCTATAATTACAAAGTGTTTTCTACATAACGAACTTTTATCAGATAAAAATACCCCATGGAATATTTATCAGACCATTCAACCTTTGAAATTTGAAAATATTTTTGCAAACCATACGTTTCCTTTAAGATTCTTTTAGCGTCATCAGTTATTTTTCTTGAGAGTAGGTTTAACTCAAAGACATGCATTTGAAACCAATTACTATGCCATATGGAAATAATGTATAATATGTTAAAATTGTAAAATGTCAATATAATATAGTGTAAA